TGTACACTTACTTTGCAAAATTTATGGTGATTTATGCTAGTGACCGCATAAGGTAGGTGTAAAGCAGCAGCCATTCGTACAGTTAATAACCTCAGTAATTCAAGTCCGGTGCAAAAACGCATGACCGCACGGGACCGCCCGGTGCGTTTCAGCCTGGATTATGACTGTGTTGGTATTGGCTGACTCCAGAACTCATTGAAGGCATTCCTTTTCATATTGATTTGCATGCGAATAATATGAAGGCACGATCTTTAATGATAATCTACTGTAAATTCGGTTTTCCCTTTTTATTCAAGTAGAGAACTTGCGGCTGTAGTTCATAATCAAATAAATTTATTTTTTCTTTATCTCGAACAGAAAACTTCATCCAGTATTTACTACAAAGTGGAATATGCCGTTCTGCAAACTTTTAAGAAACTTCTGTTTGTTAAACTAAGGAACTGTTGTTGGTTTTTGATAATAACGAGGCAAAAAAATAATAACAAGGCAAAATGAGTATTCAGCTTTGATCGATAGCAAGCAAATACCAACCATACTCAGACTGCCTGAGCTATCAGTATAGGCTATTCGGTTACCAGTTATCGCCAATATCCTTAAAGTGTCGAATCGTAAAGGACGTATCCATCTTTTCAGTACCACTGTATTAATAGCAAAAGCAGGGAGAATTTAAATAAAAAATACCGGATTTATTTTTTTTTTACAAAACGTCAAAAATAACAGTGACCGTAGTAGCAGCGAAGTGTAAGTGAAAAATCATGCCAACAACGAAAAACAATCAGTCAATGATGATGTTATTTCAGGCAACACAGCCTGTTCACACAGCATTTCAAATCACCGAAAATGAGAAATATAACAGGCAGAAGCACCAGAGCATGGAGCATTCCCAGTACAGTTACCAGTATCACCGTTTTCCAGAACACTGCTACCACGTATGCGTGCACTACTGTCATTGGTATCATACCTGAAAACTACACTAGTAAGCACATTCGAATTGTTGTCAGACACGGTAGTACTGCTTTGAAGCTGAAAATGGAGGATTCGCCTCTGCCTGTGAGCTCCGCCATGGTCTGCAAGTGGTAACGCTTGAAAAAAAGCGAGGTGCTTAAGATGCCGGCGAAATCTCGAAACGGCTAAAGCCCTGTTAATGCTTCATTCGAAAGGAACATTAGGGTGGTAGTAATTCAGAAAAAACGAACATTCAGATCGTCATACACACTGACCACCAGAAAAAGTACCACTGGACAAGTAATCGAAAAAATACCCAGTTTACGAGCCACGTTACGAGTTGCGAGCGATCAAAGCGTCAAAGTAAGTATAATTGTAATTCCTGATTTCCAGTTTTGAGTTCAGTCCTTTATTACCAGAAAAGTAGTTCATAAATAAAATCTATAAAAATGATATTGAAAAATCCTAGAAAAAATCAAAATATTGCATTTGGAACAGAATTACCAAGCAAAGTGCTGAGGCCGGACTGTACAACAGGCCATCCAACACCTTTGAGCGTTACTAGTAGCCTCGTCTGAGTATCGATGCTGCCAACATCAGAGCCGCTGCTTATGTTCGATGATGAGGATATCGACAGCTCCTTCACATTCGAATCCGAGCCAACAATTATCGAAATTGGCTGACGATAATGCGCTCTTGATTTTTTGGTACCATTATCCTGAAAAATAAAGCTTACTTTGGCACTACTTCATCACGGCTTTTCTGTCCCACTGATGCTACTGGCAACTTCTCCATCCTTTTCAATTTAGGACTTCTTTCACCCACATAATTCTATACGTCCGTTCAAAAAGAAAATAATTAAAATTTTACATCTTTTAAACGAAGTATCTAAAACTTAATTTTCAAAAACCGATTTTTTCCACAACCTTTGTGGAAAATGGAGAAGTTTTACTCAATCTAAATCAAGCGTCCATTCAAAATCACAAAGACAAAATTATGACTTAATATGTAGGTATTGATTTTAGCTGTTAAGCAGCTAGAAAGTTTATTTGCACATTGAAAATGAGGTTGAAAGTCACGACCTAAAGGAAGTAGGACGATGATTTGCAATTTTTAAGAGAGTATGGCGATGATTTTTTTTATTTTTTTTGCTAAATTTTAACTTCCCCGTCTTTTTTGGCCTCCACAATACAGAAGCAAAGACCAAGGACAAAATTTCCGAACGGTGACCAGAACGTTTTTAAAGTGACGGCATGTTGAAACCAGTTTGAAAAATACAAAATTTTGCTGAAGAGAGTTGTCCAAATAATGCAAGTTGGTGCTGAACTCTGATGTGCATCATAATTCATGAGTCGAACAATTGACTAGAAGTGATTTAGTGAGCTTCGAAAGTTTCAAAAAAGCTCCAGCAAAAAAAAAAATAAAAAATAATGTGTTTTAAAATTTCAGTAGCTCCCGGCGAAAAACCTAGAAATTACGAATCTCAAAAATTTCTCTCATCCAGTTTTAAAGATCTCAGTGATATTTGGAAAAAAACTCGGAAATTTCGAAAAACCGCGGAAAAAATTAAAAGGTTAATGAAGGTCGGAAATTTCAGTAAGTTTCGAAGATTTCACACATATAACATTTATTTTAGCTCCACATGAAAACGAATAAACGAGAAGAAAAATATTTTCCCTTTGATTAAAATTATTCTATACCAACTACTAGAACCAAGGAAAAAATTTTAAGACTATATGGCGTATCCTTTAACTGTTCAGCACAAGCTGCGATTTTTGAAAACAAAAAAATTAGAAAAAAATTTTTCGAAAAAAAGTAAAATACATGCAGCAAGGCTCTTGTCATTTATCAATTCGCTGAAAGGACAGAAATATTAAAATTTCTTGGAAAAATTTGCCTTTTGTATGAAGTAGTGATAACAAATGTGGGCGCTGTAATCGACAGAGAAGCCGACACTCATCAGCATGCTGATCAAGGAGACCGCATCCAGGCGAACGTTCCACAGATGAAGATACGCGAGGGTACCAACACAGATAGAGAGAATTGATACCACGACTGATACCACTGCGCACAGATCATTGATAAACAGATAAACAAGAATCGTCATCAAAATCACCGCTGACACTGTAAAACACAATATGACCTCATTACAAATTTTAGATACTAGTGTTTTGGTACCATCTTTTCTTAATATCGTTATTTTTACGGCCAAAGCAATTGGTATAGGGATCCCAGGTTGATGCTACTTCGACCTTGGACTGCTTAGTTTCTTTCGTAGATAACCCGCAAGAAGCCTGTTGCTGTGGAAAGAGTGTTCTGTGCAAGGTAAAGCATTCGAGCCGTGCAAAGTGTGCACGGAAATGCCATACTTGCAGAATATAAATGCACGCGCACCAAAGTATTTCAAGCACATTGGCTCGGTGATGTCGTGGGTAGCACATCGCATCCGGATGTGAAAGGGAGTGATTCAGTTCCTTCTTTGTCCAACACTATTTTCGAAAAGGAGTTCGTTCGCGATATGATGCTCGAGGTGAAGCAAAGAACTAAAAGCCGACGGAGCCTGCGGGTTTATGGCCCGAAGCACGTCTGTAGCAGCAGCTCGCGGAAATTTTCGAGAAGCCGACAACTGCCGTGAACGAAGATTCTTTTTCAAAATGATTACGGCTGATTAAGGAATTAAAGGGTGTGGACGCAGAGATATACTTGTATGCTGCTCATCTAACAGTTATTAAAATACGATCATAAATAGAAACTTCAAGCACCTTTCGCTCCACCATTACTATCTCCGAACTGCTGTACAGAACTATAAAAAAATTTCAGCCTTTGCTCATTCAAGTTCTTTCCTGGACAGCAGCAAACGAGTTTTTTTTTTGGGGGGAGGGGAGGGAGCAAATTGAGTAAAGAGTGAAATAACCGACTGGAAGAAAACGAACCAGCAGTCTGGATGAAATTCGCCGGCGCACTGGCTGCTGATTCGGTGGGCACTTTTTCCAGTGGATGATGCGAACTGATATTAAAAAATTTCGCATACTTCGCTATTATTCCACGTCTAAAAGACACCGGAAATTCAGCATAATTAGAAGCAGGCAACACTAACTTGACAGTTAACAATCATATTACTATACAAAAGACTACTCCTGAGTTACTGAGCCAAGCGTTACTTCCCAACCATGCGCTCCCTACGTTCACAACCAAATCGTTCTGTGTTACAGGCTACTTCCTTTATGTTTACTAATTAGAAAAATTCATGAGAAAAAACCTTCGCTCCATCAGATCCTGCACATTCAGAAAATTTTCCATGTTATGATAGGTTATTGACCAGAAGAAACCAGAAATTACCTCGATGCCATCCGAACGCCTACTGAAAAATCAAAAGCTTGCAGGCAAACAGTGAGTAGTTTCTGGATAGTAAAAATGTTTTTAAAGCTTACTCTGTAATGATGAATTTTTCTTCCATTCCATATTCGCGAAACGACGCTAGAAGTTTGTCTTGCTTCCAGAAGTCGCTTTCTTCACCCCAAAACGCAACTGCCTGTTTTTAAAAAGCAGCGGTATTGAAAAGGTTTTGAATTTTTTTTTCAGAGCAGTAGCTAGCACTTACTGACTGATTTCAGAAGCAGAATGCTAATAACTGAGTTGAAAGAAGGTAAAAAATGCGAGCACACACACACACACACACA